ATAGAAAGTTTCCCTTTTGATATTCTGCTCTGATTATTTCATGGACTACCCCCATTTGCTGTCTTTTGAGTACCTAGATAGGTAACATTCTAGAAGAACTTCAATTCTGATCCGTTTGGTATTCACAGTCTTGGTTTCTTCTCCTATCCTCTATTTTATTAAAATTTATTTCCAGCCCCCAATTTATGTATGATTAATTTAAGTATAATATTCATTATTATTCATGAAGTTTTCGCAACATATTCAAAACATCTTCCTCCCCAGCGAAGATGACGTGGTCGTCTCATAATTAAGAGAATAGAGCATGGAATCGTTAACTTTTACACCCAGATTTAACATTTTCTCCTCCAGCTTTTTAAAGCTTCGCTTAAATATAATTTAAACACAGTAGGAGCTCTTTAACACCCTTGCCGTAAGCCTTTACGTACAGAAAATGATTCAGGAAGGTTTCTTCCGATTTTAATTTGACTTACGTTTTTGCTGTATGCTTTAACAGATTTCAATAATTACATCTTAACATCTTGTTTATCCATTGCCATCCAAGAGTTAATTCAATGGCACTGTGTGGTAGGTTTTTCTTAAAGCTATGAATACCAGATGAGTTACCAAATTATGAGCAAGCCGTTTGTCTGTCACGAGTCTGATACTAAAAATAGTATTAGTATACGAGCGTCCAGCTCTAAAACCGGTCTTTTCTTCCACATACATAAGATCCATTTCAAGGCGAAATTTTAGTATTTTTGCATTCAGCCGGCCAATACTACAGAGCACAGTTGTGCCACTGTAATTTCCACATTGTTTTCTGTCACCTTTTTTGTATATGTTAGACCTCTAGTAGCGTCTCTTCTAAAGACCTCTGGTAGCGTCTCTTCCTTCATACATCATTGACAGAAAATTTCGAAAAGTACACTAGGTTATTCGAAAAGTACAATATATTTTAACAGCTCTATATACAAATACGAAGACGTCGCGGCGCCACGGGCGCTTCAGTGAAGTAGGCGCCGTGGCGAATCAATTATCAAGTATATAACGTGTGAATAGTGCACTGCGGTGTTGCTTTGTGTGATTGTGTGAATAAATGTGTTTGTATAAAGAGTCTAAGTATGATTGTGACTGTGAATGAACAAATTAAAAACAAGAAGAAAGAAGACCAACTTCAAGAACTTTAAACAAAAATAAATAATTTACTCTTAACTAGAAAAGGCCCAAAGCGGCCTTTGTATTAGTTAATAAGTTTAGATTATATGATAGTCTAATGAAGATATGCTCTAACGCTACATAAGTTTAATTGGCTGCAGCTTATTGTACCCTAATTAATATATACCCGCTTCTCCAGGGCAACTGCAAAGGGGGAAAATGAAGAGAAAGAAGTGTGCAATACCATTCCAGACAGCACAGTCGAAATTCCATGCGGCCGGCACTACAAAGAGTACGTCAGCGAGTGTGCGGTGAACTAATGGGAGGTGCGGTGCGGAGACCAACCCGGTCGAGCACGCCCCAGTGACAGCGCCTGATGGTGCGAGCCTGCGCGCTAGTGAGGAACCGAATGGCCGTGCCTGCGACGCACGGGAGTGTGGCACAACGCGCCTGGAAAGCTGTCTGAGTAGCTTGGAATGTTTTTGTTCTTTTGGGAAAGGGTTCATGGATGTACACATTTTGGTGAACAAAGTGTTTGTTGAGTTTTAGCTCAACACTGGGATCAACACACTAATCAATACAGGACTGATTATTCAGTAGAACCAGAAAATAACACACGTGTTTTATACTCTCCTTCTAACTTATTTATGAGGTTTGGAATGTGAGTCCATTATTCTAAGGAGTTTTCCTGATTAAAAAACCGTACTAAGTCTTTCTCTCTATGTCTGTAAAGTGTAACATACGTTCCTGGAACTAGAATATTGTTTTCTGTCAGAAGTGAAGCATCCTTTGAAAGATGTAAATCTGACCAAATCGTTCAGTTTGTGTTAAAAGGTTTGGGATCGTGTTTGGTGCTTGTCCAATCAGATTCTTCAGCAGACTCCTCAAGCGGTGAATTTGAATCTGAATGCAGTACTTCGAGATTTGAAGGAGGTTCTAGTATACGAACATCAGTACCACGTGGAGTAGGTCTTCTAACAGACTCCAAATCACGATAAACCGTTCCGGGTCTCTTCTTTGTATTGGGACCTTTTACTTTGCAAATACAAAAATAACAATCGTCTAGATAGTTCTTTGGCTCGCACCACACCATAGAAACACCAAAACTCGGTGCCTTCATCTAACTTGTTTCGACCTGTTTCTTAACTCTCCAACACAAATTTTATGAGAGACCACGGCTTGTCCTAGTCTCACAGGCTCATTTCAAACTACGCATTATAAACACTTCTAACAAATGAAGTTATATTCTGTCTCTTTTTTGCAATCATAAAACGTTCACAAATATAACAATGTATCTAGGTCATTCACACAGTCTTTGCGTGTTTATATTAGCACAACAAAGATTTAAACAAATGAACTAGTTCTTCGAAACACTCTGCTTGAGATGCATTCAAATATCTTGGTTAACACTGGTTGATTTAACTTGTACACAGTGTTTTCTATTATAAGCATGGAGCTATGGGTTTTCTACATATATAGGTACTAGCTATATATATAGGTACATAAATGTAACATTGTAACGTGTTGCAATCTGGATGGGTTCTGTTACAAAATGCAAAATGAACTGACATAATCAACCATCACGAATAATATATATTTGCGTTTCTAACTCATTGAAGATAATATGTATATTTTCAATATATTTTTGACAACAATTACTGAAATCATTAAAAATTGTGATGTGATAGAACAGAAGTAAGGGCATTATTGGATTCAGATGACCAACTTACGTATAAAACAAGTTTCAAAATCAAAAAAGGAAAATCCATGTTGACCTGTGTTATCAATTTTAGAGGATTGACTCTAGTTTAAATGAGAACATCTTGAGAATTGTAGATGTAGTGGTGAACGCTAACAAAATAAATAGTAGTATTTCTTTTATTAATAAAATAGCTAAAATTTGCAATTTCACATACTAATTATTTGCTATCGTAAGACCTGCGCCACTCTCTTAAACGTTCTTCACACTAAAAAAACGTTGGAACCATTTTTTTGAAAATTTTAAAATTGTCCTGAGGCTTCACATAAAGTATCCCCCAAAATTAAAATATCGGTTTCAAATTCCAGGGGCCGCAACCTTAGTCAGATCAACGGAGGAATATGAGTGTTGGAGAAAATCGGCTGAACGGTTTACGCGCTAGCGTTCTTCACAGTCAGACGTTTTGCTTTCAATTGACTAACTTGGTATCAAGGATCCATAAATCATGGATTCTAACTATACCACGTGTTAGAGGATTTTGTTTCTAAATTCATTGACATTATCCATAATGATATTATCCACTTTTTTATTACCAAGGCTTTGTAATGAGAGTTTTTCTGCCGAAAATTCGCCGGTTTTTTCGCGCAGCATTTCATAGCTTTCTCTCTACTGCGTAAGCGGTAGCGAGAAAGTAATATGTTATTTACAAATTGCCTCCTTATTTGAAACACCTTCCTGTCTCAAATGATATTCTTGAATTATATAAACTTCTAAACAGAATAGATGGATTACAAAATGCTATGGATGTGTCAACCAGTCTAACATTAAGACGAAGAACAAGTGAAGATATGGAGGAAGAGGAAAACATAATGAACAAAAGAATTGTAACAGAAGTCAAGTATAGCGGTAAAATGAGGAATGTGATGTGCGGCTACTGGAGTGAATTACTAATATAAAATACCCGGACCTCTATGTTATTGTTACGTATGAAATGGGTAATACTTCTGAAATTATAAAGAATGTCATTGGGGTAGTATGTAAAACAGGGCTCCTGGCTCAGACTTTTACATCATCAAAAAATTGAATATTTCCTCCTCATCAAAAAATCACAATTTTTACTTATTTTACAACATTCTTATAAGAACTTTATATCTTTTTTACAATATTTATCTAATTTTTATCATTTCTACAATGATTTTAAGCGTTAAGAATCGTCGAAATCTGTTGAAACATGTGAATAAGAGTACAATATAAGCAAAAGTATTGGAATCTTTAATCAAAAGTATTTTCGATTGTCTGGGTAAACTTTAATTGAAGTATTTTTTTTTTCTTTGTATTCTTCTACTACAACTCGAAATCGCTAGTCAATGATGTCACAAGATAATCATGCCCTCGTCTGTATTGAACAACTTCCGTCTGCTTCTTCGCGCATTGCGCGCGCCGGCCGACCGCGCTCTGCCCGGAACTGCAAAGGGAAGAGCGAGTGCGTCTGGCTGCACAGCCTGCAACCGGCGCACCGAGTGGGCTAGCGCGGACGGCGGGCGCAAGGCTGCCGCAGCGGCGACGGCCCCGCCCGTCAAGGCTGACGAGTCGCGGCGGCGGGCGCGACTGTGAGCCCATTTCTTTCTCCACCGCATCGCTCTCGTAAGCGCTATCCACAAGGTTCAATTTCTCAAATCTCGACCCCAATTTCGCCTCATTTTTACATTTCTCATCAACGAGTGACTCCGTGTAATGTTGTGTAAATATGATTACGTAATAATCCAATAGCTGTATAGTTCTACGTGACGCCGCGTCGCTCGCCAAAAAAGTGGTTCGATTTGTCGTCGGGCCGGTATTCCCGGGCAGCTCGCGTCGGGGAGGTTGTGTTCGTTTTCTCGCGAGCCTTCCAGCCGCTCTTGCTCCCCCGCCCCGCAGCGGAGGCTCCGGTGTTCCCTCTGATAGCTCCCTCCCATAGCTGTGAGAATTAACGACTCACGTTGCTATGACGACATCAGAAATGCATCCAATCGTGTAATTCGATACGTATTACATTACGGTCAACTATAAACCGGCGCTATCGAACGATGGGAATAGATGAAGCGAGTCTGCTGACTTGAAAGGCGTGTGGGAAAACCTGCACAATAACGGCGTGCCGTTCGGAACATCGTTTTGTTGGATCACAATGGCTTTCAAGGCAGGAAATAATTATAGGGAGGGTGTTGTATCACAAACTCGGGTTCCTTTTTCCTTTTTGGATATTATTCCTCGAGACTTAGAAATAAAATTGAAATCGAAGATAAATGTCGCCACGTGGTTGCACTGTTACCCTGCGATATCCACTTTAATGGCTTATGGCTTAGTCACTCAAGGTACCGATGTTCGTTTGTTCCAGTATCAAATGAGTAAAATGATTTATGGCGATGGTTCACTGCAGCCTGACGGAAGTAATAAATCCTTCTTGTTCATTATTAAATTTATGAACCATATCAACGCTTCTGCTGTAATCAACTTCTCTCTCAAATTAATTTCGAGCCTTCTCTAATTGTTCATTTTGTATGTCATGGTACCATTTCTCAACTTAATCTCCTCTTTTATTCCTCATGAACATTGTAATTCTCAATTTCTACTTCTATTTTCGATTATTCCAATGCAATTCGTCTATTTAAGGGACTTGGGCTTTTATGGACCAATATTTATATTATAGTTTTTATAGTTTTATATTATATTATATAGTTTTATATTTTTGGGGGGAGGGAGTATGCAATGTACTTTATCACCAGCAATGGTTTTAAACAATGCCGGAGCCTGACAATTTAGAGCTCTGGGCAATGCTGAAACCCCGAGAAGATTAAAAATGTGAAAGGTGTATAAGAAACTAGAAGAGTTATTTTATTTAAACAAATATAAAAAAATATGCTTAAGATGGAAAAAGTTTTTGGAAATATATTTTAAATAATAATTTTAAGAAAATGTATTTAGTGATCAAATAATATAATTTCCACGGTGTCTTAAAACGCTAAAAGTGTTGTGCCTAATAAAATCACTTGTTGTTAAACACATGAAGTAATAATAATATGAATTTAAGAAAAACTTTTTTTTAATATTAGCGTTATTTGTTTCATTTCGTTGAGTCCTACCTTATACGTAACTAGTATAATTAAATATTTAAGGTAAAACATTAATTAAAAATGTTTGAAATATCAGATTACAGGACTTATAAAATTGGGATAACGATCTTCTTGAGTTCTAATGCCTTTTCCAATTTTTAATATTTTTTCCTCCCCATCAGCCGTATCATCGGACTCATGCCGGCATTGATTTTAAATAGCCCGCTGCCGTGAGAACGATCTTCAATTGAAACGAAAAGTTTGTGTTACGAACCACTGCCAACCACTTGGCAGCACCTGCTACATGGTTGGGTTGGGTGCTGAGTGTTTTGGGTGGGAGGCGGTCAATCGCTGGTCACTATACTGCATTCTATACAAGTCTGCCCCTGGCAGGAATCCGCTGGTGACAGTTTCATCCAATCGGGAGCTTGAACGTCTCCATAGTGACGTCAATATGGTAACGTTCAAGCTTCCAATTGGATGAAACCGTCAACAGCTGATACATTTCAAGAGCAGACTTGCATAAATCGCAGTATTAAATAATATACACTGAACGAAAGGAAACCAGTTGGAAGTTTACTTTATTGGTACTGGATTGTGAGGTAATAATTGTTTTGTAAAGTTCCGGAGCAAGTGAATGTTTTGCGCTCTCAAATTTTCAGAAAGTCATTAATTTTGCCAATTTAATGTTACTGTGACTCAGTCTATTATTAAAAATATATAGGTTAGGTTATATTTAAATGATGCGTGAATGGTTAATAAGGAAACAAATGTTATTCTTGCTATTTTTTGTTTGTTTGTGTGGTTTCAGAATTCTTCCACTTATTGAGAAGAAAAATGAATTTTGTTACCAAGAAGTTTGCTGAGCTTTTGTCAACTTCATGTAATCGGTTAATATCATCTTCATGTTCTCCTCTTGTGTCATCACACACTTCAGGGTACTCTCCTTTCCAAGGTAGTAAGACCTTCACAATAGTTAAATTCGGAGTAAATTGCAAGTTTCACATTAATTTTCTAAATTGAATTCTTTTGTCTTTTGCATCTCCTGCATTTCACATTCACATAGTTTTGTAATAAAGATGTATTTTTAATGCAACATTTCAATACTGTCACCATTGTAATCATTAACCAAAAGGTATCAATTTTGAGAAACTTAAACACCTGTCTCAGTGTTGTAAAGAAGAAGTTTTTGTTAGAGAGTCACATTGCTATTGTTTGAAAAATGTGCCAGAAACTAAAGAGATTTGTTTGTATACTAAATTTTCATGTGTAAATTTCCTTTTTTTTATTTGGAGAAATTATCAATTCTTTGTTAAACTATATATTAATGTTCATTGTAGAAACTTTTGAATTGTATCATATTCTCAATATGTCATCAAACATAGGTCAATCTACTCTGAATATTTCAGATCTTGTGTGTCGTACTATGGCATCACTGAATCAGATGCATCGAACAGGTCCACATATGAAGAAAAGACCTCCTCGGCAACCACTAGACGGAAAACCTTTTGCTAAAGGAGTGGTTTTGAAAACTCTTATCAAAAAACCAAAGAAGCCAAACTCTGCTAACAGAAAATGTGTACTTGTGCGACTTAGTACTGGCAAGGAAATGGTGGCATATGTGCCAGGGATTGGACACAACTTGCAAGAACACAACATTGTTCTTGTTCGAGTGGGTCGTTGTCAGGATGTACCAGGTGTAAAACTTAAATGTGTGAGAGGAAAATATGATTTGCCTCATGTAGTGAAGAACTAAATAATTTTTAACAATTTTTTATGAAATAGATTTGTAATTAGCATTATATTGTAAATAAATTGTTGAATTGTTCCTTTATAAATAAAGTAAAATGCCCCAGTATGAATACTTCATTTGTCTTTTGTAAATCCATATCAAACTACAATGATTAGCTTGATTACGATGTTTGACAAGGGACTGCTTTCTTGATTGTTTTCATGGAATATGATTTTGATGTGACATTTTTTGATGCATGCTTTTTGATACGGTAAAATTTAGTTGCTCAAATGTCCATTTTTTAATCAATCAGTGTGGAGGATTTTAATTTGGCAATTTTCATCACAAACTGAACTGTGGCATTTGCTCTGGAACTCTAGGAATCACATCTAGAGGTGATAGAATTTGAGGGACCAAAAATAAATGCTTGCAGAATTTTTGTGACAGTGCAGTTATCTTCCGTATTTTATTTTTATTTGCTCACATTCAGAAATTTACATCCTGCTAATCGTGGAAAATGTTGGGCTATTTTTGAAAATCACGAGTACTTAGATGGTTCGGTTTGTCCAATTAAAACTTATAAAATAATATATAAGCTAAAAACTCATCAGGATTATTTAAAACCAGAAACTATAAAGTAATCATATGTTAATGGGTGAAATCTTATCATTTATCAAGTTGAGGTGTTGCCTTAAGTATATGACCCGGTATGCGTCCATCGTTGCCGCCTCGTCTGGTTATTAGTAACCTAAGGCAATGCTGAATGGTTTTCTTTTGTCTTTTAATAATTGAAATCTATGAGTAAGAAATGTGGAATTAATGGGAAAAGTAAAATATTATATTTTTTCAAAAGTGTAAGAAAAAATAGATGTTAAAATAAAAATTGTGTTAAGTCCTCGTGTGACAGATTACGTGTGGTGTGGACAAAATACAAACTATGCACGTGGTTAAGATTAATGCTGCCTTTGCAAAGTCTGCTCATCCTTGATTTTCATATATCTGGTTACTCGAGAAGCAGAAGGGATGAGAGGACAGCTGACAATCACGTGAAGTCTGGTGATCAGAAAGCAAGTTTGTTACTGCTTTGTAAGAAGAGGATTCAGAAACATGTTAGCAACTCTAATATAAAATATTACATCTTGACCTCAATCAGATGTATAAAAAGTATATAGAACACAGTTAAAGTAAGTACTAGTAACAGTGTCACAATAAGTGACATTATTGAAATATAATTGCAGTAATATTGTATTGCGATGTTTTTCAATCTAGTCCTCTCGTAACGTTGCAATGCTTTAGGCCCAGGTACATTGGACTTATTATTAAAACTAGAAGTGAAAGATTTGCAAAGCAAAGAAACATTCGAATTACTAAGTCACATCAATTTAGCTTTTAGGCAAGGTAAGATCTAAAAGTAAACATAGTGTTAGGTTTTCTTACTTAAAAAAAAAAATTTGCTGCAATCAGTGTGTCTTTTAATCAGCACCAATCTGGGCCAAGAGGTATGTATTTCATAAATTGTTAAAGCTCTGGAAAACAAAAATTGTTATAAAAGAAATAAGTGTGAAAATCACTTTATTATTTGAGACCATAAGCTTTAAGAATTAAAAAAATATTTTGTATAATAGAACTCTGTTATGTAACAGAACAGAAACGTTTTGAACTACAAATCAAAGATAATACTGTGAACTCAATGTAAATTCTACATTGGATAAGTAAAACTAGTAGTGCAACAATGGCACAGACTTTCCTGTACTAGTTTTCTGTTTCCATTGGTCTCGGCTAGCTATTCAGACTTGCCACATACTCTTGCCAGCTGCGATCTATTACCACCCAAAGTACATTTTTTGAAATTTTCTTAATTTTTTGGCTTTCTATTAGTAGAATGGAAATATTATTTTAAGAATATTAAGGAACAATAAAACCTCCACCTAAATGCCAATTTTTATTGATAAAAACCGGAGCAGTTTTTAAAAAAATGGCATTTAAGCGCTGTTGTAAATTTGAAATTTTTACCTTCTTTTTGGAAAACTATTTAGTTTTCCAAAAACTTTAAATGATGTAATTTCAAGCACTTCCAGTCACAAATGCAATAGTGTTTACAAATCACTGGGAATGTACAAATTAAAGGTGTGGGAAATCTTTCGAAAGAATCACATTTGTGTAATTTTTGAAAAATCAAATGAACACAGCAAAATTAATTCTGTCATCTTATTCAGTGCAATTAGCACTATCTGTTGGAAAAGTTTGAAGTAAACATTTGGAGCTATTTTTGAGAAAATCTTGTTTTGGGATTGTTTTACAAATTTATTTTCAAAGAATTTGGAAATATAATTTCATGTCTATCTTTAATTTTGTAATTGTAGGAAAATTCTAGAAAAAAATCATACTTTTAAAATTTTCGAAAATTTAGATTTAACCGTGAAAATTGGACCTATGTCACTTAAATACATCTTTACAATAAATGTAAAGAAAAAAGCTGGAGCTGTTTTTGAGAAAATTAAGAAAATGTCTGGGGGGCTTCATGTAAAGTATCCTTAGAATTTAAAGATTTTTTTTCAAAATCTCAAAGCTGTGACGCGAGCCAGATGGTCAGGGGTTTCTCCAATTTGGAAAAAATCCTGATCATGGTATAGGTGCTAGTAGTGTTCACAGATGGATGTTTTGAAATGAACCACTTTTTTGGTATCAGGGGGCCCCAAAACGTGTATTGAACAACTTTTTCAGTATCAGCCCCCAAAACATGTATTTCTGTTGAAATCTTGAAATCGATTTTCTGCAGCATTACATAATTTTCCCTATACTACATATATTGCTCCGTATGTATGTACATATATGGGAGAGCAAAAAATTAAAATTTCCTTGAAATTTGTATTGCAATTAATATTAAAAAATACATTTAACTCGATCAAGGAACTTTTATTCTCAAATTATTCAATGCTAGATGTCTCATATTTCAAAGAATATTATAATTGGCAATTTATTCCAAATTTTAGTAAATGTTCACAATTCTTTAGTAGAGGTAATGTGAGTAGAAAGTGCCAACCATGATAATTTTGTCATATTGTTTGTATTGAATTTGTGTTCACTCTGTTATAGAGAATATTAAATGCTTTTCATTTTCTAACTCCCATCTCACCTATTTTATACATGAGAAATTGGTTAATTTTGGATTGCTGTAAATTATGTTTGTTTGGACATTACTAACTAGATATAATTGTCTATGAAGTTCTCATAGAATTTAATTTATCTAAGGGTGGTATTGTCATTTTATGAATTGGCACAGTTGGGGAAAACATTTTTTAAAACATGATCCAGTAGATATTTTATGGGGGGAAGGGTGTTACGGGGAAATATTACTTTTTTTTTATATAAAATAAGAATAACTTCATTATTTGAAAAATCAAATTGAAGTACATTTAGAAAGTATATACATTGTACATCCAAGGATTAACTTCCCAATGCCCCAAATAAAGATTTCAAACTTTTATAATGATTACCAGAAAACAGCACCATGTTAATATGTGGGGCTAAGCCTAGGGCCCACGATAGTTCTCAAAAATTATTAAAAACTAATTTTTTTTTAAATGTTCCATAAATTCTTTGACAGGTGTTGCAATCAGCCTATCATACAAGTTCCATTTGAATACTTTAAGAGATAATTTAAACAGTTTTAAGCCTAGTGTATCAAAGTAGTTTATTGAATCTGTGAAATGGCACAATTATTTCTGATGTAGTAGTCTACATCACTACTGCATTGCAATTCTGACATATTACCTCTTACATAACACACTACAGTGTGTACATAAAGACTTATTGCCATTAATATTTTTTGATTTGTAAAGAATGGCTTATGGTGGGCTAGCACATCTGCATTTGATACTTTTGGCTTTTTTCTGCAGTTTGAGAAGGCTTGCAGTAAATTAAATTACTGAAAAATCTAGTATATCATCATACCTTCTCATTTTCCGAAAACAATGGAAGGCACAACAAACAGAATATTAATAAATGATATTTCTTCACAGCATTGTAGATTATAGGTACCAAATTGCTCCAGAAGCATTAAAAGAGTGTTTACTGGTCTCGAAGAAAGAGGTCACTAATCAAAAAGTTTTTACATATTACATGTTGCACCACACATTATAAAATAAGACTTCTTGAGTGCTAGAACAGTCAAAAAAGTCTAATTCTTATTTGCCAACAAAGAGCAGGTGTTCAGTTCAAATCCAGTTGTTCCAGTTCAAATGCTGCCCCGGAGTAAGGAGTTTCTTTGCATTTGTCTTCTGGACCAGCATGCTCCTTGCAGCCCCCCCCCCTATAAAACAGTTTCCACGACATGATTAAAATTCTGTACAGAGATTTTCATTAAAGAAACATTTTAATTGACAATTGACTCAGTCTAACTGAGACTTTAAATTGACAAAATTATCATCCTTGAGGATTGAAATTATCCTATATTATAGCTTGGGAAAGATAAAATGTAAAGAAACTATTTGGCGCTGCTTAGATAATATAGCAATGTTATTGGATGCAGGTCATTTCAACTTAATCTCATCATTGTCTTGGTAAAAATGCACAATATAAAAAAAAATTAAAAAAGGAAAATAGTTTAAACAGATAAATTCCTGTACAATGGGACCCAATTGATACAGCAAAGAGTAAAAGCCTTTGAATACACTGTACCTGTTAATTCTGCCACCCAGTAGATAAGGGTTTCCTCCATTGGCGAAAACAGATGTCCAGTCAATCATTGTATTGCTGTAATATTTTTTTAATGGCCAATCACTGTGCAATCAAGTGGGTGCATTTTGTGTGGTAGCTCGATTACACATTTGATCTGATTAGTCCCGAACAACGAAACTGGTGCTTATAGGTACACCATAACACAATATTGATCTATACTTTAAGTCTCATCAAAAGTGTAAAATAATTTTCAAAAGCTACATAGCTACAAAATTCAAATTTTATTTACAGTTTATTAACTGTAAATAAAAAACATAATCATATTTTATTTGCTATGTCTCCTTTGATGCTGACAGACTTTGATTGAAAAACGAAAAACTTACAACAAGAGGAAAGGCCAAATACATTTCTGGGCTCCTTTTTCCATTTAATTTTTTTATTTATACACGACATGTTTTACTAGTAAAAGAATGAAAAAACAAGGAAAATGTGATTTCAATTTTAATAAAATAATTAATAAATATAATTAATTGTCTGTTAAACCACTTACACAGTTGCCACAAGGCTTAGAAAGGCTCTTCCCTAAATACAAAACAAACTGTCAGATTAAAAATGGGGAAGATCAGGGTGTGAACATATTTAAGAAAATAAAATTTATACAAAAGGCTAAGTGGTCCCTTTCTAAATTTTAGAAAATCACAGCACTCTTCTTTATGCATACCAAAAATAAACTCTGATATTTGTTTGATTATTGAATTGAATGTCACAACCATCATGCGATAAAATTCACAATTTTATTCAAGACATTATCAATCTTTTGTATAGTTAAGGAAGTAAAGACTGAAATAGATATGAAGCAGTAATACTAAATTATTTCAACTTAAAATACTTGGCATTAATAATTA